CTCAGGGTCAGTGCACCTGGTGGTCAGACTCGACCAGGCTGGATTACAACCCTACCACATCCACAAGTGACTCAATCTAGGGGCGCACTTGGTGAACACCAAAGCTCCACTGAAGTAAATCCTGCTCCATAGGGGTGTCTCCAGCACAGCAGCTCTTTGGCTGTAGTTGCAGCTGGTCCTCACAGCTGATTGGCCTGGGGGTCAGTTCCTCCCAGTGACGCCAACAGCAACCAAGGCTCAACTACAACAGGACAGTGCACACAGCCCACACAGGGGAGCACCTAGAAGGCCCAGCTCAGGTGACTGGGGAGGCTGAGCCACTGGACCCTACAGGACACCTACTACACAAAGCCACTCTACAAATTCCAGGAGACATAGCAGCTCTACCTAATACATAGAAACAAACACCTGGAAGCAGCCAAAATGTGGAGGCAAAGAAACATGTCACAAAGGAAAGAACAGAAGAAATCTCTAGAAGAGGAACTAAATGAAATAGATCCAAGCAAGCTAACAGATACAGAGTTCAGAATTTTGTTTATAAGGATGTTTAAGCAGACTATTAGGGAAATAACTGAGAAAATCGATAACATAATAAAGTACCAATTTGAAATGAAGGCTACACGAACTGAAATGAAGAATAATTTACAGGGAATCAACAGTAGAGTAGAGGACGCTGAGAATCAAATCAGCAATTTGGAACATGAGGAAACAAAAAACACCCAACCAGAAGAGCAAAAAGAAAAAAGAATCCAGAAATATGAAAATAGTATAAGGAGCCTCTGGGACAACTTCAAGAGGCCCAACATTCGTATTATTGGGGTGCCAGAAAGGGAAGAAAAAGACCAAGGAATTGAAAACCTATTTGAAAAAATAATTACAGAAAACTTCCCCTACCTGGGGAAAGAAATCGACTTACAAGTCCAGGAAGTACAGAGAGTCCCAAACAAGAGGAACCCAAAGAGGCCCACAGCAAGACACATCATAATTAAAATGCCAAAGGTTAAAGACAAAGAGAGAATCTTAAAAGCAGCAAGAGAAAAGCAATTAGTTACCTACAAGGGAGCCCCCATACGACTGTCACCTGATTTCTCAAAAGAATCTTTGCAGGCCAGAAGGGAGTGGCAAGAAATATTCAAAGTGATGAAAAACATGGAACTACAACCAAGATTGCTCTACCCAGCAAAGCTATCATTTAGAATTGAAGGTCAGATAAAGAGCTTCACAGATAAGAAAAAGCTAAAGGAGTTCATCACCACCANCCACCAGACCAGCACTACAGGAAAAGTTGAAGGGTCTTCTTTAAGAAGAAGCTAATGAACAAAAGAATCTGACGAACTAAATAGATCCAGAGACATTGATGCGTGTAACAGATGATCATATTTCAGTGGAAAGAGGGAAGGAGGATAGAGGGTGGGAAGAGATTAACCAAAGAAGTTATATGCATATATGCATAACCCATGGACACAGTCAATAACGGGGTGAAGGCCTGGGGAGGGGGTGGGAGCGANTGGGAGCGAAGTGGAGAGGGTCAATTGGGGGGAAAAAAATGGGACACCTGTAATACTCTCAACAATAAAGATAAATNTGTAATACTCTCAACAATTAAGATAAATTAAAAAAAAACACACCAACCAACCAAAAAAAAAAAAGCAGTACTGTGCAACCGGGCAGAAGAATGTAGAGTGACATGGCCATGATGAAATTAAATTATTAGCTGAAAAAAAAAAAAAAAAAGGAATATAGTCAGTACTATTGTACTAACTATGCATGATGCCAGGTGGGTACTTGACATATCAGGGGGATCACTGTGTAAAATATATGATTGTCTAATCACTATTCTGTACACCTGAAACTAATACAAAATAATGTTGAATACAAGCTGTAATTGAAAAATAAAAAATAGCCACTTTAATAGGTGCAAAGTTTTCCTATTATGGTCTCAATTTGCCTTTCCCTAATGACTAATGATATTGACCATCTTCTCATATGCTTATTTGACAACAACATATTATCTTCGGTGATGTATCTGTCAAATCTCTTAACTATTAAAAAATTGGTTTGTTTGTTTTCTTAGTGAGTTTTGAAAGTTCTTTATATATTCTGAATATTTCTTTTACTAGATATGTGATTTGAAAATAATTTTTTCACAGTCTATTGCTTGTCTTTTCATTTTATAAACAATACCTTTGGAATTTCTTTAATTTTAGGCCTTCTATTTAGGTCTGTAATTAGTTTTTGAATTAATTTTTGTATATGGTATAATCTTTGGATTCAGGTTTGTTTTTTCCCCTTTGGGTGTGCATATCCAATTGTTCAACTATTTGTTGAGGACTCTATCTTTTCTCCATTGACTTTCCTTTACAACTTTGTAAAAAAATGAATTGTTTACTGTTATAAATTATACAACCCCCCAGTTTCATAGTTGAAGCCCTAATCCCAATGCGACACGTGACTGTATTTGTAGATAGGGCTTTTAAGGAGTTAATTAGGAGATTAAATGTCGTCATAAGGATGGGGCCTTAGTCTGATTGGACCTTATAAAAAGAGGAAGATATACCTGAGCTCCAAATCATTCATTCTCTCTCCCTCTCTCCCCCCCAAACCCCTTCATCAGAGGACATAGAAGGAAGGCAGACATCTACCAGCCAGGAAGAGAGGCCTCACAGAAGCCAGCTCTGGTGCACCTTAACCTTGGACTTCCAGCCCCCAGGACTGTGTGAAAATAAAGAATTGCTGTTTAAACCACCCAGTATGTGGTATTTTGTAATGGCAGCCTGCTAATATAATCATCTATGTGTGGGCTTGTTTCTGCCTCAGAAATAGTCTGTTGAGTTTCATTTATTTGTTTATCTATTTTGATACCAGTTACCACACTGCCTTGATGAATGGAGCTTTGTAGTAAGTTTCTTTTCAAAATTGCTTCACCCTTCTAGATTCTTTGCATTTCTATGTAAATTTTATAATACCTGCCAATTTTAAAAAGTGTTTAAATAAAGAAAATTATTAGGGGATAAAATCTAAATAGTAGAAAACAAAACCAAATTTAAGGGTAACTAATAAAACAAGTTCAAGGTAAATACTTGAAAAATCTAACTTAAAGAGTATCTTTTGTGTTCTTAAGATATAGCCAAAGCTATTCTATCAACTCTATCAACTTCGTAAGTGTATATCATTAAGGAAAACTATTATAGACTTCTAAAATTTCAGTAATAAAATTTTGTGCATTCTTGTAGAATACATATGTGTGTGTGTGTGTGTGTGTGTGTGTGTGTGTGTGTGTGTGTGTGAATGTGAATGAAAACCTGCCTAAAAAGTCTGAAAAAGAAAATCTGTTCACATGAGGAGAGTACTCCTTTGTACATGACTGGATAGGTCTTATCATCTCATAATTTGCTAATAGCTAATTTGCTACTAAATGTGGCTTCTCCTCCAGTGGCCCAGTTCAGAGTCCATTTATACCTTATTCTTACTTATTAGTATGACATTCCTCTGAGAAAATGTTGGAATAGATTTTATTATGCTTATTTTGTTTTCTGATCTATTGACAGTTAAAACATGATATTAAGTGATAATAAGCATTTTAACAGCATTTGCTATGTTCCAGGCATGTGCTAGGAGAATATCTCATTTAATTTTAATAATTGCTTGAGGTACATATTTTTATTCTATTATTACCCTAATTTACAACTGAAGAAACTGAGACTTAGTTTCTTAAGATAAGTGTATGTAGCAAGCAAAGGGGGAAGCTAGTATTCAAGCCCAGGTTTGTACATTAAGCCATTATACTATATTGCTGTTCTTTATGTCCAACGATAATTTTATTGCTCTTCCACCAATAGGATGCAAATTCTAAATATAACTTCTTGGTTGTAACGAATGATTTGTACCCTTGATTTATATTCGCTGCCTAATTTACCTTTTGGCCAACTGCACCCATTTTCTGTGATCATGTAACAATGTAACAGAGGGGTGTTAATAGTGTCTTAGTTTCCTTGAGCTGCTGTAACAAACTGCCACAATCTGGGTGGTTTAAAACAGCAGAAACCTATTTTCTCACAGGTCAGTAGGCCAAAAGTCCAAAATCGGTTGTCCTTACAATTGGTTTCTCCTGGAGGCTCTGAAGGAGAATCCATTCTATGCCCCTCTGCCCGCTTCTGGTGATTGCTGGCAATCCTTGGCGTTCCTTGGCGTTCCTTGGAGTACAGACATCTCACTCCAGCCTCTGCCTCCTTCACATCACCTTCTGTCTTTCTCCCCTATGTCTCTGTACCTCAGATCCCTCTCTCCTTTCTCTTAGAAGGACATCGGTCATTGGATTTAGGACCCACCCTGAATCCAGTATGATTTGATTTTGAGAACCTTAACTTATTCCACGTAAGTGTACATTCTGAGGTTCTGGGTGAAGCAGGGATTTTTTTGGGGGGGACATTATTCAGTCCACTGCATAGGCCTATATGGGACAAAATGCTTTAACCAGGCTTTCACTAGCGTTTTCCTTTCTCCCTTTTCCTACTTCTTCCCCCAGATAAGGCCAATTTGCTTGCTCAGAGTTCGGTAGGGTTGCTTTGGCTATGCATGCATGTGGTCAGGGCAACTGGGTACCAACCGAGCGTGCGCCACACACGCTCTTTTTCTCTTTTACTCCAGGAGGCAGAATTGCTGGGCTGCCTGAGTCCCGCTTTCCCCCTTCTATTTCCATGCATAGCAGAGAGTTTGGGTCATCGCCTTGGTTTCCTGCAGGCTGGCAGGTGAAAGAGTCACCAGTTCCGATTCAACGGAAGGGCAGTAGGTGGTCTTGCTCAGACACAAAGGTGTGTCCTGCAGTCACCCCCAGAGACTCCCGCCGTCTCCAGCAGCGATCAAGGGGCCCTGCGGTTTCTTCGTTGCTCCCTGCATATGCCTCTCTCAAGAATTCCACAGGGAAGGACGATGAATGACACAGCGCGGTTTGGGCATTTCTAGCAACTGCTTTGCCGTATACCAACAAATGGCCCCTGAGGTTGACCTGTCACCCCCACAGCCTCTCTGCAGCGGCGACGTGGAGGAAGCCGCCCTCAGCCCGGGTGCATGGGTAGGCGGGGGCACCTGCGTGCCACCCAGCGGGCGCAGCCCGGACCCATGGCTCAGGAGCTGGCTTTGTCGGCACTGCTGAGAGAGCCTACCCACAAACTCACCTAAAAATATCATTCGGGATACATTTGGTTTAAAGCAACACATGGTCTAATTAGATCTCTGTTGTCAAATCCCAGTTTTCCTCTGAGAAATAGCAGCTATAACTGTTAGGAAAGGGGTTATGGCACTTTTAGAAGGATAAAGAACTAATGCTATTTCATATTACAAGAGGGGTTTAAAAATTTAAACATCAGAGCACATACCTGTGAATATGATGTTTTGAAGATCAATCATACAGAAGAAAAAAGGAACATGGTCTAGGGGGGAAAGGAACAGAAGTCTGAGTTTGTAAATGGAAGAAAGGCCATAGGTGGATTTTTAAAAGAGACTCTTAGTAAATATTTTGTTAGAAAGCTGGAAGTGTAATAAGGAAAAATGTACATATATTTAGGTGTCTTTCTCTGTTGGTTAAGTAATAATAAAAGGCAGAATCTCCTTGTCTCTAAATCTCCTTTTGAAGTGAATATTGAACCAATGGTTTTTCATGGCAGATACTTGCTTTTCTGAGGGCAAGGGATAGATTCACAAAATACCCTGGGTTGTCTTTTGGCTCTAATTTCTATGTCTCGAGTGTAGCAAAGAGTATTGGAAAGCCTGTAGAAATAAAATAAGAGCAGAGATGGGTGCTTAAGGGCAGGTTCTAGGAAAGAAAAAAATTGGGAACTCAAGCTTCATAGAACTGTCCATACTTTCAAGTCTGTATTTCAGGATTTATTTTGTAATATTACAAAGTTCCAGTGGAGCTTGAGGTAAGTTCAGCCCAGGGCTCCTGCATTTATATTTTATTTCCATAGTAATAAGATTGAAAAAAGTAGTAATGATGAAAAGTAACAAAGTCCAATAAATGAGTCAGTGATATTTAGGGAAGAAGTGAATGAAATAATAATGAGAAAGATATTTTCCAAATCTGAAGCACCTTTGTTTTATTGCATCAAAGACACTCAGTTTTCAAAACAAGAGAGATCACCTGAGAGCCTAAATAATTCTCTGATTTGTATCCTTCGTACATGTTTGACCTTGGAGGATAGTATTAGAGAATACCCTCTGGTGAAACAAATATCAGATCTGTCAGAACATCTCCCACGAAAGTTACCCTTCTTTATCCTGTTGTGTTTGTTGAGGATATTGAGAAGCTTTCTCTACAATTTGTAATAATGTAATTATAATTTCCATCAGGTGCATACTGACTGGAATGCAGGATCTTAGAATACCTTTCTGACTCTCAATTCTTTATGAAACAGAAAAAGCTGATCTCAGCCTAAAATTCAAGTGAATTTTGGAAAATTTGTTTCTAAGAACAGGTATGTGGAGAGAGTAATAGTGTTCCTGCCACTGTCACCCAAATTAGCTACCTAGAAACTGCAGTAGAGACCATGAGGAAGATTTTAGGAGGGCAATAGCACCTTCTTCCAGCATTCTCCTCATCTCTATCAAGTCAGTGGCTAGGAAAATAGTTACTTTAAAAGTCATTCATCATTGCTTATACTATTTCACTGAATATTAATTAAAAAAATAGAACATTTATTTTATTCTCTTTGTAATTTTTTTTAAAGGAAGCAAACGTTTAAGACCGTATATTTCACGATTGTCTTTATTACATTTTTTTGACTTCTGAATTATAAACTATATGTGATTTAAGTTGTTTACTTAAGTTGTTACCAATGATGTAAATTGCATCTGGTCAAAAACACTTCTAGCACATTGATGTTATATAGCTTCTAATAAGGGGCAAAGACTGCATCTCTTTTAAATGAGACCTGTCTTTTGATTATAAAGAAGGCTATATCAGAAGTGCCCATCTTTGGACATGAGCTATATATAACAGGAAATAGTAATAGCAAGGAGGTGAACTGGAAGGCTTGGTAACTGAAGAAGCTATGTAGTTGGTGAGGCTGGGAGGTTCCTTCTGAAGAGTTCTTCTGTTAGGTAGCAGCAATTTAGCTAGCTCCTCCAGGGGTCACAACTGGTCATGGATCTACATGGACAATGGAGATCAAAACTATTCAGTGTCCATGAACAATTTGCTACTGGCTTATGGCAAGATAAATACAGAAATAAAGAATAAACATTTAGAAAACTCTGTAGCAACTTGATGTTGCCATGACATTCAAGCTTGCCATTCAAGCTTGAATTAGTGGCCTTGCCTTATGGAATGGGTATAGACCAGTTTGTGTATTTGCAAACTTGCATGTGTGAACTGTGTACCAGCCATGTGTAGTGACAGATTAGAAATAATAATAAATTCTTCCCCCCAAATAGCTGTAGAGCACTGACGTCGAGGACACTGTCCCTGCTTTGCAGGTTTTTCTATGTGGATAAGCCAAAGACACAAATATATCTGAATCCACATTCAAATAAGTGGCTTGAAGAGCACTGCTAAGGAAACAGGATCACGTTTTGTTGATAAACCAGTACACAAATAGAGTACTTAAATGGTCATTGAATTCCCAGAGAAGAAGAAATGAGGCTCTTAATAAGTACTTCCTGAATCAGTGGTGTTATCAATGCATCGTTAACGTAGCAAAAAGAACCCTGGGACTTAGTTTAGGTTTCCAGGCTCAACACTGCCACTTGCTGGTACTGTGACCTTGGGCTGTACTTAACCTCTTTGAACTTTACTTTTATAATTTTATAAAAACATGTAACAATTCCTGCCTTACTTGACACAGGATTGCTTGAAGAGTCAAGTTGCTTAACATTAAAATAGTTTTTAAATTATAAAATATTGTAAAAAATTAAGGAAAAAAGTGTGGGCAG